AAAAGATCAAGGAAAGTGCAAGGAGGCAAGAAAGATTTCGATTTGGAAAAAATATTCATGTACCCGGTCGAGTATTGCCTATACCCGATCGGGTATTTGCTTGATTCGATTGTCCAAATCAAATCCGGGAACCAATGATCGTGGGAGCAAGATTTCGTTAAGATTTGTCACATACCCGATCGGGTATGCCGACATACCCGGTCGGGTATGCCCAGAAAAGTGACTTTCTGGGAAATTTCCTAAGATACCCGGTCGGGTATCCTATATACCCGGTCGGGTATCAGCCCCTGCAGCTCCCAAAAGCCTATAAATACACCCATTTACTTCACAATAAAATAACCAATTAACATATACTTCTTAGCTCAGTTTAGACAAGCTCTTTCTTTATATTTTCTTCATGTTTAGTCTCCAAATGAGGAGCTAAACTCTTCCATCTTGGTTTTGCTACTTTGAAGCTTAATGAATTTGTAAGTTGTGAGTTATTTTCTTTAATCTTCTTCCTTGAATATTAATTATTTCCTATTCATATTACATATTAATATTTTGAGCATTACTTAAAGGATCAACTAGTTTTGTTTCATATATTAATTATTACTAGAATCAATCGATTAATATGCTTGTTATTAATTCGGTTCTTTCAACGGTAGTAAAACTTGGATTATTAATACATGCGTCTCATGGTTAATAATCTAAGGGGAATTAATTATATATATTAAACCAATAAACTGCTTGTGTGAGGTTATCAATCTCAATCGTTTTCATCTTAAGTTTATTGCTACTATCGGGCTAATATACGGCGCGTGTTCTATATTGACTCGGTAGTAAGTTTTATTAATGAACGTGTCTCGTTATTAATAACTACCCTCGATGAACTGGATATACTCTTCGATTAAGTATTCGAGAGGAAGATAGTTAAAGATATAACCGGGATCGACGAACATTTCATTAAGTGGATAAAAGCAAAACCAAGTCCTCATCTCTATTAGTTAAACTCATATAAGTCGTTCATCTTAGTGTTAATTAAATTAAATCAAATCAAACTTAAAACCCACTTTTTTACTATTCATATAAAAGAAAAGTATTCTTTTCCCTATGGATACGAACCTTACTTCAAAATACTACGTATATTTGTTGTATTGTATTTATTTTGAGTGCACCTCACGACAAGTACACGTCAACACGGCTCAACAATTTTGTGTGCCCCAATTCTCTTAATAGTAGTAAATATAATGACAAATGATCCGGTCAGACGCACCACATCAGATATCCCGTATGACCAAGCCTGTATGTGGGGCATTCAAGTCAATTTTTTGATAAAATTTTGTAATTTCGTTGTTCATGAACTTTAGATTATCCACAAAATTTTAACTTAAAATTCATCAGAACTGAAACTCAGTTAAATAAATTATTGAAAAACATCGGGCCTTCACTTCACATAAAAAGTGCAATGTTTTTCCATAATTTATTTAATTGACTTTCCGATTGAATTTTAAGCTGAAATTTTGTTGACATAATATACGGGAACTTTTTTCACTAATTTTATCAAAGTATTTGACCCGGAAGCCCTTCAAACGCGCTTAACCGTACGGTATATCACATGACCATATCATTTCTCATAAGGTAGTAGTCAGAATTTTGAAAAAATGTTTTATGTAATAGAAAAAATAAAAATAACTCAATTAAAAGCACTCACCCCCTACTTTTAGATTTTAGCTCTATATTGTTTAATTTTAATAGAATCACCTTTTTGAAAATGATAAATTTATGTATTTAAAGCATAAAGTTGAAAAATATTTTTTAAATATATGCAAATACTCCCTAAATAGACGTGGTCTAACTCAAGGTTACATGTGATAAACATTATCTTTAGTCCCATCAAATTTTGATGAAAGCAATTTTCAATCATCATTTCATCTGTCATGGTAACAAACAAAAGTCACAAACAATCTTTGTTTGCACCATGAACACATTTATACCAAAATATGTTTTTATATACGGTTGATTGTATGTTGTCATGCATGTCAAGGATGATCACAAGACGTATTTGAACATTCTTATATGCGATGATGGAGGACGTAGTGTGAGCACCTCCAATAATGTGGTCTACAAAGAAGTTGTCAAAACTTATTACAAATACGTATTTGAACATTCTTATATGCGATGATGGGGGACGTAGTACTTATGATAATTTTTATAAACTACTAATTAAAAAATGAATGTGTTCTTTTGCATAACTTCATGAGGACAAAAGAAACACTGCAAATTGTAATATCACGTTTTTCACTATCAAGTATTCAAACTGGCATTATTATATAATTTATATATATATATATATATAGTACCCCCTCCATCCCAAAATTAAGTTCCACATTTGCTTTGGTGATGTCCCAAAATAAAGTTTCTACTTGAATTTCTTTCCATATGTGATAAGTTTATATAATTCATTTACCATTTCATGTTCAAATGGCTATATTGAATTGATGCATGTTAACTCCATTTCACTATTCATCTATTCTCTGTACTATACCAATTTTGGTATTACATCTTTAAATAACTTAATGGTGTTTTTAAAAAGCCGACTTTATTTCCTATTCTACCATAGCACATGTGAAGTCAAATCCGAAATTTAATTTTAGAGCGGAGGGAGTACTATTTATAAACAAAATATTATTCTACTCTAGATAGATCCGTGTATCGCACGGTTACATTCGAGGGGAATTTATACAACTATCTAAATAGGAACATCAAATCACTTTATTTTTTAAAAGAAGGAACATCAATTCACAACTCTATGACGTGTAAAATAACACATAAATCTAAGAAAAAGTAAAAAATAGCTCGCAATTTAACTATTTAGCTAGGCAAAAGATAATCAATTTCTATAATGATTGTGTCATGGTGCTATTATTTAGAGATTAGAGAAGAGGTTCAAACTATCATCTGTAACAGGGCTCAACAAATTTGTGTGGCCCAATTCTCTTAATAGTAGTAAATATCATGACAAATGATCCGGTCAGGCGCAACAGATCAGATATCCTATATGACCAAGCCTAAGATCAGATATCCTATATGACCAAGCCTGTTTGCAGGGCATTCAAGTCAATTTTTTGATAAAAGTTTTTAATTTTATTCTTACTGAACTTTTGATTATTTCCACAAAATTTCAACTTAAAATTTCATCAGAACTGAAAGTCGGTTAAATAAATTATTGAAAAACATCGTGCCTACATTTCACATAAAAAGCGCAATGTTTTTCAATAATTTATTTAATTGACTTTCTGATTGAATTTTAAGCTGAAACTTTGTTGACATAATCTACGAGAACTTTTTTCACAAATTTTATCAAAGTATTCGACCCGGAAGCCCTTCAAACGGGCTTAGCCGTACGATATATCACATGACCATATCATTTCTCATAAAGTAGTAGTTATAAGTTTGAAACAATGGTTTATGTAATAGAAAAAGTAAAAACAATTCAATTAAAAGCACTAACGCCCTACTTTTAGATTTTAGCTCTATATTGTTTGATTTTAATAGAATCACCTTTTTGAAAATGATAAATTTATGTATTTAAAGCATAAAGTTGAAAAATATTTTTTAAATATTTGCAAATACTCCCTAAATAGACGTGGTCTAACTCAAGGTTACATGTGATAAACATTATCTTTAGCCTCATCAAATAGAAGAAGTCATTTCAAATTTTGATGAAAGCAATTTTCAATCATCATTTCATCTGTCATGGTAACAAACAAAAGTCACAAACAATCTTTGTTGGCACCAAGTGAACACATATATACCAAAATATGTTTTTATATACGGTTGATTGTATGTTGCCATGCATGTCAAGGACGTATTTGAAAATTCTTATATGCGATGATAGGGGACATAGTGTGAGCACCTCCAATAATGTGGTCTACAAAGAATTTGTCAAAACTTATTACTTATGATGATTTTTATAAACTGCTAATTAAAAAATGAATGTGTTTTTTTGCATAACTTCATGGAGACAAGAAACACTTCAAATTGTAATATCACGTTTTTCACTATCACGTATTGAAACTAGCATTATTATATAATTAAAGTTAAAAATATATATAGTACCCCCTCGGCCCCTCCATCCCGAAATTAAGTTCCACATTTGCTTTCAGGATGTCCCAAAATAAAGTTTCTACTTGAATTTCTTTCAATATGTAATAAGTTTATATAATTCATTTAGCATTTCATATTCAAATCACTATATTGAATTGATGCATGTTAACTCTATTTCACTATTCATCTATTCTGTGTACTATACCAATTTTGGTATTACATCTTTAAATCTTTAAATAACTTTATTTCCTATCCTACCATAGCACCTGTGTAGTCAAATCGGAAATTTAATTTTAGAGCAAAGGAGTACTATTTATAAACAAAATATTATTGTACTCTAGATAGACCCATGCATCGCACGGGTACATCATCTAGTTAGTTATTTAGATTTCAAGAGGGTGGGTAGAGTAATTGAGTTCTCCAGGAATTAGATAAAACATGGACTACATCTAGATTAACTAGGGATGGATTGGGCTCAGGTGGTTACAAGTGACGGGCTTTGGGTTTGATTTTTAAAATTTTTTATTTATTTAATTACATGGGTGGTGCTGACCCGGGCCCGATACAGTTTCGGCCAGGACCGGAACCGGAGCATACCGGGGCAGAACTGGGCTCCAATTTTCTAGAACCGGTATCGGCCAAGCTCAGGCCTGGCCTGACCCGGGTCCATCGCTACGATTAACTAGTACAGTACCCGACAAATATATTTGTTATCATGATCTAATTAATTACAAATGGAAACTAATTTTTAAAAATTGGCATTTTTCTTAAAAGTGAGTACAATAATTTATTCATTATTTTGATAGTAAATCATGTTGTCATTGTAGTGGTGATATGATAATATGTACTTTATGGGGTGAGAAAATGCTTCCAAATTCTTGAATTTTCGGGAAAAGCATCAATCGGGGCTATCTGTTATCATACTAACACATGCAAAAATCAAGGAACCAGAAGGTTAGATCCTATTTTTTACTGTTGTTCATGTCTATGTCCATTTTTTTTTAACAAAAATGCAAATAATTTATTATTAATACGATTATCTTTACGAATACAGATTGATAACATCAACTAAAACACACAAAAAGCAGAATAACCAAAGACAAGCAGCAGAGTGGCCAGTTAAACAGTGAGCTGTACCCGTCAACGTTGTATTTCACATGTCAAGTATTCGAGGGTCTCATCACGCAAAGTATCATCAAACAGTGAAACCTCATTTTCTCTGTAATCTAGACGTTCTTCAGCATGTAATGATTTAATCCGGTTGTCGTCCCCAAATGCCACAAGTATAGGCTTAAACCAAAGAACCTCGGGTATTGCAACGGGAGAAGACAGTTGCGGCCACGGCATCTCATTAACTGGATTTGGATTACACATGGGAGCAAAGACCACTTCAGAACCAGGATAGTCCTCCTTTATTTGTTTGTAGGAGTCAAGCAACTTCTTGAAGAGAGAACTAGAGGAGCCAAAGTAAAGGAGGATTTTCCTGTTCTTGAGGCAAGAAACTTTCAAGTGAGAAGAACCTCGTTTGCATCCCTTGTAGGAAAGAAACGACTCTAAGGTGAGTGACCTTAAAGCCGAAAGCTTGTCATCTAACCATTTCTTTCTAGTGACAGGATATAAGTTGCTTGAGCCACACCACTCCATAAGAGCTAATCCACTTAGCTCACCGGAACGCCCACCACCAGCCCAAATGATTACATCATCTTCATATGGAACATTAACAATTTGGTAAAGCCTTCGGCTAACATGGTCAACAAAGGGAAGCTCCCACCAAGATGATATACCGTTCTCTTTCAATGCCAACTTGAATGCTTCAGAGTACGAAGACTCGTCAGAAAAGTAGGATAGGTTTATGATCACAACGTCAAACTGTTGCTTACGCTTAACACATCTGCGACGGAAGATTTCAAGACGAGACATAAATGCAGCATCAAAGCAAAGGTACAAGACAACACACTTGCTCTTGCTGAGGTCTGCAACAGATATTACCTTGTTCTCTTGGCTACTGCCATCACATTTGTGTAGGAGCATTGAGGATTCGCAGCACAAGAGTTCCTCCAGGGTCACAGGTTTATTGCTGATTTCATCTTCTACAACGCCCTTGTAGAGAGGACCCGACCACCTCTTCAATGTCTCCTGGCCGTCGAGTTTCGATTGCCGGTAAACTGGATCCAACCTCATCCTTACCTCCTCAATTTTTTTCTTAACGGAGTCCAAGTGGTGATCAGTGAAAGGGAAGTACGCAGCACCATACTCTTTGAAACACAAAGTATCCGACTGCAAAACCTTTTGATCCGGATCTAGAACAAGACAAGCATCACTTTCAGTCAACCTCGAACTTTTTAACCCAAGAAGCTTGCAAATCGAGTCCCGGGTCGAAAAGTCAGAAAAGGGTACAGCCAGGCAAGGAAACGCAGAAAAAAACCAGTCGAAAGCAGGTTCCTCTTGTTCCTTAGAGATAAATGAGGATCTCATCTTAGCTACCATCACCATCTCGAAATTTGAGTTATTCTTCTTCAAGCCATTGTAAGTTGCAATCAAGCTGCGGCATACACGCTGAGGAGGGTCGCCAGCAAACATAGGCACGATGAAGCAACAAACAACCAAATACTTACCGGCAATAGCATCGATTAAACCAACTCTTTCACCGTTTTTACGGACAAGGGAGTTTGTTTTACCGCCATTAGATAACAAGGAAAACACATCAATAGGCAATTTCTTGCCTTTCTTAATATTAAGAGGCTTGATCTCCTCCATAAATATTTCTTCAGGAAATTCGAAAAAGTCATGTGGTTCACCAGTAGTACAATCAGGGTGGATGGTATTTATTGGAGAAGGAAAATAGTTTTCTGGGTCGAATAGTGAATACGGGCATCCTGCTCTCTTAAGCTTCTTTTCGCAGACGCAGGGGTCGTCGCTGCATCTCTTCAAAGTCCAACCCTCCTCCTTTTTGTGGCCGCTGCATCTCTTCAACGCCTCACTTTCCTTCTTCTTTTTGCGGCTGCATCTCTTCAACGCCTGACTCTCCTTCTTCTTTTTGCCGCCCCTGCATCTCTTCAACCCCAAGTCTCCTCGTTTTTGCCTCCGCTGCATCTCTTCATAATTTAGGGTCATGCCTTTGTTATAGGCACAATACCTCACCAACATTATAGGATTGCATCGTATGACCCTTCAAAATAGCAAGTACAACCCCAAACTGTTGATAAATGAAGATATTGTGCAAATTCACCAATTCATAGATAGGTATATCATCTTAATGTCATGATTAAAATTCTTCTAATCACGTGTTGTTCTTAGCCACTTAGTATTTTTTATTATTTAAACATAGCACCATGTTGGGATAATCAAAGCTTCAAATCAAGTCAAGTGAACGAACCGTTAAGTAAAATTCAAAGCCAAACTTCAAGTTCAAAATTCTCTGAGCAAGAGAAGCTTACATACAAAGTTGTTCTCATAGTATTAGTGATATAAATGCCTTAATTACATACAAAGTTGTTCTGATGAGTATTAGTGACATATTTGTAATCATGATCTAATTAATTACAAAGGAAACTAATCTTAAAAATTGGCATTGTTCTAAAAAGTGAGTACTATAAATCAACATCATAAAGTGAAAGTTAATAAAATAAATATTAAAAGTAAAATAACAAACTTACGTGTTAGACATTTGGGAAAACCTCTTTGCGTTCAACATGCGTTCAACATTCGTATTAAAATCTTTCAATCTATGATTGCTCTGAAATCTTGATAATGCCACATACAATTGTCCATGACTAAAAACAAGTCTAGACAAGTATAATCCAACTCTTTTCAGTTACTGTCCTTGAAATTTATTGATTGTTATAACATATGAAACCATTTATAGCAAATTGTCTTCTGATAAGTTTAAAAGGCCGTGGTGATTAAGAAAGGGACATACACATTCGAGGTATGTAAATCTCATTTCCACTATTGCTTCTAGACATGATTCTTGCTCCAATGACATGATTTTCATGTCTTGTGACAATTTATCTAGTCTCATTACATAGTCCTTTTACCTAGTCTATATTTCTTAACAACATTACTAAATTCTCAGTCTTAAGTCGTGTCTTATGATTTCGGAGACCAAATGTTCTCAAAGAATTTAGAAACTCGGGTGTCAACGCTTCAAATCTTTCTACTTCAACGACATCCGACTTGTCTACAAAATCGCAAGTTTAATATTCTCTTTCTTCACCTATAATTACAAAAGTTCAGTAGAATTAATTTAAATATTAAATTTCTTTACGATTTTATTTTGTAAGTAGCTAAGGAAAGTATTATTTTTATAATATTGTTTGGGAGCAAGGAAAGAACAAAGCCGTTAATTTTATCGACAATTTCAATAGTCGATGCCAAGATAATTCTACACTTGAGGAATTCCTCATTTTTGTATTGCTCCAGTAGCACTTATCATATCCAAACTAATTTGGAGTCGCATATTTTTTAGTAAGAGATATTACCTATTAATGAACAAAAAATGTAAAAACTTGTATTTGAATATATAACTTATAAAGTAATTATTTCATAAAAAACTTCTCAAGTTATTAGGCGATATTGTTAAATATTTAATATAATTAGTGGTACTTTATAAAAAAAATGGTACTTTATTTAAGCTAAAAGCGAACGAATGTACAAATTTTTAAAGCTTTATAGGTTGGTTATTTTGGTATATTGTGGTAAAATTGAATTTATACATTATAGTAAAAGTAAACATATTGGTTATGGTATTGAAAATATAGTTTAGTACCTGACAATTTTCCCATAGACACGAAGAATTGATTGTCGCATTAACAATGTCTGAACGACTTCCTCTAGGAATAACAGGTAAAATTTGTCTAAAGTATCATTCAAAGACAATAACTCTTTCTCTGAATGGAGGAATAGAATCATCATCATTATTGATGGTGTCATTTAGACTTTTGTCTAATACTTCAAAACAAAATTTATGAGCCATTGTTGTTTCATCATATATTATCAACTAAGTATGTTTCAATAGTTCTGCAAGTCCACTACCTTAATGTGTATTGCATGTAGAGTTCTCCAGAGTAGGAACTGGGATTTACAATTTAGTGTGTGTAGTCCTGCATCCAAGCAAGAGTAGACAAGCTACACCACTGGATGTGACAGTTAAAACCATATGACGCTGAGAACGTAAGGCAGAACCTAGTGTCCTCAACATATATGTTTTTCTGGTACCACCATAACATATATAAATAAAATATAATTTTAAATCAATACATTGAATTTTTTTATTTCATAAAGCAATATATTCAAATAAAACTATTTCATAATTTTAATTGTTTGCATATCTCATATGTCATTCATTTGCATCGCTATGATAAAATAAATTATTTACGATAAAAACATAATGGGAGTGGACACATAAACATGAACATCTTCTTTTATTTGTGTTTATTACATTTGTGATTTGTATATTTATAGCCTAGTGATCAAGAGTTGCAAAATTTAACTCTTGTAGAGATTGAGATATTGATGCAAAAAAAAGAGAAAAAGTCTAAAAGACTATCCCTCAATATCATATTCAAATGGATATATCATGGAACAACTAGGAAATAGGCTTATATATGCAAAATGTGATTATGATACGTCCAAGTTGCGTGAGGAGTTCCAAAGTTTGTATGCTTCTCTTACATGTAAGATAACTACAATTCATAAGATTTATAAGTCAAATTATATGGTTTTGAATGTCAAAAGAAAAATGATTTTATGCACATATTTTTATGCTAATATTGCAAGTGAACAAAAAACCATATTTGACACAATAATGGAAGTTGTGACTAACCAAAAAGGTGGGGTACACTTTTTATATGGCTACGGTGGTACCGGAAAAACATTTATGTTGAGGACATTAGCTTCTGTCTTACATTCTCAGTGTCATATTGTTTTAACTGTCGCATCCAGTGGTATAGCTTCTTTACTCTTACCTGGAGGCAGGATTGCACACTCTAAATTTTCAATCCCAGTTCCTACTCTACAGAACTCTACATGCAATATACATCAAGGGAGTAGACATGCAGAGTTAATGAAACAAACTAAGTTGATAATAAGGGATGAAGAAACAATGACTCATAATTTTTTTTTAAGCATTCAACAGAAGTCTAAATGACATCATCAATAATGATGATGATTCTATTTCTCCATTCGGAGAAAGAGTGTGTCTTTGGAGGAGACTTCTGACAAATTTTACCAGTTATTCCTACAGGAAACTTTTCAGACATTGCTAATGCGACAACCAATTCTTCGCATCTGTGGGAAGACTCTCAGGTACTATACTCAATTTTTTAGTACCATAACCAATATGTTTACTTTTACTATAATGCAAAAATTCAATTTTACCACAATATACCAAAATAATAACCTATAAAGCTTTCAAAATTTGTTCAATCGTTCGCTTTCAAAGTTAAAAGTATCACTAATTATATTAATTATTTAACTATATCGCGTAATTACTTTATAAGTTTTTTTGGAATAATTACTTTATAAATTATATGTATATTGAAATACAAGTATTTACTTTTTTTGTTCATTGATAGGTACTATCTCTTACTAAAAATATGTGACTCCAAATTAGTTTGGATATGACAAGGGTTACTGAGCTCAAATTATTTTCAAAATAGATATTGGATGTGAGGGTGGAAAAATATTAGAGCCAAACGATGGTTATTCAAAAATATAAAATCCAGATGAATTCTTGATTAAAGAATATTATGATCCAACAGATGCAATAATTCGAAGCACGTATCCTAACTTGCAGGGAAAATGGGGAATTCCTTAAGTGTAGAGCTACCTTGGCATCGACTATTGAAATTGTCAATAAAATTAATGACTATGTTCTTTTCTCACTCCCAGGTAGTATTATAAAAATAATACTTTCCTTAACTACTTGCAAAATAAAATCTTAAACAAATTTAATATTTAAACCAAGTCTAGTGAACTTTTATAACTACAGGTGAACAAAGGGAATATTTAAGTTGCGATTCTGTAGACAAGTCGGATGTAGTTGATGCAGAAGCATTTGAAGCGTTGACACTAGAGTTTCTAAATTCCTTGAGAACATCAAGTCTCCCAAATCACAAGATACGGCTTAAGGTTGAGAGTCCAGTAATTTTGTTAAGAAATATAGACCACTCAGAAGGAATATGTAATGGAACTAGAATGATTGTCACAAAACTTGAAAATCATGCCATTGGAGCAAGAATCATGTTTGGAAGCAATAGTGGAGATGAGATTTACATACCTCGAATGTGTATGTCCCCTTCTCAATCACCATGGCCTTCTAAATTTATCCTATAATGGTCTCATATGCTATGGCAATCAATAAATCTCAAGGACAGTCACTGGAAAGAGTTGGATTATACTTGCCTAGATCCGTTTTTAGTCATGAATACTTATATGTGGCATTATCGAGAGTTTAGAGCAAACATGGATTGAAGATTTTAATACATGATAAGGATGAAAAATCATTAGACACTACTATGAATGTTGTATTCAAAGAGGTTTTCCAAAATCTCTAACACATAAGTTTAATATTTTACTTTTAATATTTATTTTATTAACTTTCACTTTATGATATTGACTTATTGTAATCACTTTTAGAACAATGCCAATTTTTTTAAAATTAGTTTCCTTTTGTAATTAATTAGATCATGATTACAAATATATCACTAATACTCATCAGAATAGCTTTGTATGTAATTAAGGTCATTTATATCACTAATGCTCATCAGAATAGCTATGTATGTAAGCTTCTCTTGCTCCGAGAATTTTGAGCTTGAAGTTTGGCTTTGAATTTGACTTAGTGGCTCATTCACTTGACTTGAGTTGAAACTTTGATTATTCCAACATGATGTTATGTTTAAATAATAAAAAATACTAAGTGGAAAAGAACAACATGTGATTAGAAGAATTTTAATCATCATCATGACAGTAAGACGATATACTTGTCTATGAATTGCTAAATTTGCACAATATCTTCATTTATAAACAATTTGGGGTTGTACTTGCTATTTTGAAGGGTTATAGGATGCAATCCTATAGTGTTGGTAAGGTATTGTGCTTATAACATCTATCTATATATGTAATAGACATGAACAACATTAAAAAATTGGATCTAACCTTCTGGTTCCTTGAATTTTGCATGTGTTAGTATGACAACAGTTAGCTCCGAGCCTCCGATTGATGTCTTTCACGAAAATTCAACAATTTGGAAGCACACTCGCCCAATAAAGTACACATTTTCATATCACCACTACAATGACAACATGATGTACTATCAAAATAATGAATAAATTGATGAAATTAAATTGTAGGAATAATAATAAATATAATAGGAGCAATTGAAGTTGATGTCATTACATGAGATCTTTCATAAAAAATGCTACTTTTTTCGATGTAGCATTATCATGGGCATTAACAAAGTCATGGAGAGATCTGATGACATCTATCTTAATGAATTGACAATTTAATATTTAACTTATTAATCATTTTTGTTGTCTAATAAAATTCACATGTGTTTATAATTTGATACTTACCCACTAAAGCATCAATGTGCAGGTTGCCACTTAGTATATAAGAAAATTTTCTAAAGTGGAAGTAATCTGTCGGATATCAGCAAGATCTTGTTGTTTAAGTGTTGTACCAATTGTGAACGGAAGCTTGAACGGGTGTTCACTTGTCCTGTATTCCCCTTCATTGTGTAGAACACAAAAATTCTGCATCACGTACGTTTAATTTTGTTTCTTTTTTTTTTTAATTTTGACTTCCAAAGGAGAATCTCAGTAGTCCTTGCAACTACTTGTATCTTATGTCCCTAAAAAGTTTGAGGAATAATGTATATGATCTTACAATTATATTGCTATACATTATGTAATTATGTAATACAAAATCATTGACAAAATAACAATCACACCTTAGCGTCCATTAAAATCATTCCAATGAACTTTGAAGAAGAATGAACAGAACAAAGTGATATCACCCAAACCGCAATCTTCTATGTCTCCTTTGAATCGTTGATCTCTTCAATTGTGTTTATCTAGTGTGTCATATCGAAGGGTCTAAAAATCCAAAAATGATAACTCCCTGCTATAAAGAGTGGTTTGCCTTCAGAATTGACTAAAAATGAAAATATAATAAGTACTTGACGTTTGAAGAAGATAAAATAAGTATGTGACGTATGTAGTATTATTAACGGAGCCTAATAACCTATTGTCGTAAACATATATCGTCACAGAATTATAACTATATTTTTTCTTTTCTAAGCATGAGATACTATTTCAAAAAATGTTGAGTGTATATGTCAATACACTGATACAACAAAAAATATCTCAAGCAGATGATTAATTTTACAGATCCTACTTTATCCTTTGAAATAATGTGATTTTACTGAATTTGGAACTGGTTGACCCACCTGTAGCTATGACATCCAACCCTTGTTTGAAGTAGTGTCCTCAAGCAACATTTTAAAGATGATTACATCAATATAACATATTTTTGGGTTATAAGTTGAGCACGCTGAGACTATAAGTAGTGAAAAATACAGTTTTTAAGGCTTATAATGTGTTTGGTTTAGTGTTTTCGGTTTTTGAAATATTAGACTAAAAATAGATGTGCGACGTTTAAAATATTCTCCGTTTAGTTTTTCTCAAGGCTAGGTTTTTACTATGTTCATAGAGAACTACTTATGCTTCGAGAAGAAAGAACATTAAAATTAAGAAACTTAAATATCCAAATAGAAGAAGAATAGAGGCGTAACTTTAGACTATTCTTCTTTCATTTTTAGTTAGCCTATTGTTCAAAATAATTGGAAGCCTGAGTTTGAGGAGTGCAAATTTACAACTTCTTTAAGTTTTTTCCTTTGTTTGTACAAGACTATCAGAACTTTGTGGAAGTGCAAGTAAATAAAAAACATGTCCAAAGGTGAGCAAATTTGCAGCAGCCATTCTAATTCTTGTTTAAACTTTAAAGTGTACTATGCTATGACAATCAATAAATGTCAAGGAACTTTGCAGCAGCCATTCTTATTCAATTTTCTTTGTCAAAAGGTGAGCAAATTTGCAGCAGCCATTCTCATTCAATTTTCTTTGTTGAAGAAGTAAACATTTAACTCTTGCATCCTAAACTTGTGAGGATCTATTTATAGAAGTCTCTGGATGCCTTGGAGAGTCCAATGAACTAAGAAAACACACAAAAATTAAATATAATTTGATAGATTAACAACTAAAGAATAAACAAAATAAAAGAGATTAGGTCTTCCCTTGAAATGAAGAATTTTGAATTTATAAGTTAACTCATTTGAAAGAAAACATGAACAAAAAAACCAAACCCTTGATGTTATAAGGGTGAAAGCACATAAATTTGTTATTTCTTTTTCAAGATTACACTGTGAATATAAAAAATGTTTGTAAGATTCTGAAATCTGAAGCGAAAGGCAAGCAAAAACATCATAACCTCATTGGAGGAAACTTGGTGAAGCAATACCTTTACATAGCGTGGAAGAATGGATGTGGCAGTTTGATGTGCTACAGAGGACTGCAGTTAGAGGTTTGAGCTGCTGTTGTGTGTGTTTTGGCCGGATTTTTTAAAGTGAACTTGTGACCGTTGTCAGGACATATCGACTTCTATGCATTTAATCAAACATAATATATGCACAAAGAACATTTTGCTATTGTAAACACCAAAAACTAAGCATGAAGGGCTTGGTAGAAGAATGTAGTTTTTTTAATACAGATTTTTTTGGACAAATCTTGGGGGGATGACTATAAAAACAAACCAATTCAAAAAAAAACATGCTTTGTTTATAAAAACTGAAAATGCTAAATGAAATATTAGACTAAATATAGATGTATGACATTTCAAAAAGAGACGTATGACATTTAAAGTATTCTCCATTGAGTTTTTCTCCAGGCTAGGTTTTTACTATGTTCACAGAGAACTACTTCTGCTTCGAGAAGAAAGAACACTGAAACTAAGAAACTTAAATATCCAAATAGTAGAAGAATAGAGCATTTATAGAAGACATCAGCATCGAAACCACAAAAACTAAAAATGATAAGCGGAATTGTAAAAACTAATATGCTTTTCTCATAGAAACATATCATTGAACACCTTATATGCTTCAGATTATATGGTCTGTGCACATAATATTCAGGTAAAAACAGAGGGAAAAATTCATTAGCAAATACTAAATGCGAAGAAAGGTGACGGAATGAGCAGAATTCGCAGCGTACCTGTGTGATTAGAGAGGCAATAGCATAAAACCCTACTATTCTAATGATATATAGCGATAATATGTAGTGTAGTAGATTGTGTTTTCATGTCTATCAAGCGTGCGGTAATCTAATGGATGGACAGGCAGAGAGACGTGTTGTATATGGCAAGCCTGGCTGTATGTCCCAATCTCAGCCAATCTGTTCAGCATTTTTCGGAGAAGAAAAAACTAGAGATGGTATATAAGCAGCAGGTTTTTTGATTAAGCAATTTTATCGGTAATATTATTAATTTCATAGGTTTTGATTTAAAATTTCATAGGTTTTGATTTATTTAATTTTTTATTAATTTCATTGTTAATTTTTTATAAACTTTTCTTCACAAAAGTTTATTAGTTTCATAAAACTAAATAATATTTAAAAAATTTAAGATAAAAAAATTAATAAAATTTCGGACAACTTAGGTCCTAAATTGATAATTTCCAATCATTCAAGTCTTAAATTGATAGTTTTCCATCATTCGAGTCTTATATCGATACATTTCATCTTTCAGGTCTCCGATTAATAATTCATTTATTTTTCAGGTTCTGAATTAATAAAATTTCTTTGATTAATTAGTTAGAGTCCTCGCAAAAAAACAATAGGGTCGATGGTGGATGTACGAAAGAATAAGCGTGAATTCAAAACGCCTGAGAACAGAGGGGCATATTTATACTTTAAAGAAAAAATTCCACTTTTGATCTCGTGACTATTATACCACTTCCGCATTTAGTCTCTTACTTTTAGATTGTCCACATTTAGTCCGTGACCATTATCCCTTCACCACCCCTCGTCCTTCCGGCCAAAATTCTGGCAAATTTTATGCAGATTTTAGGTAAGAAAAACCAAATTTAATGCAAAGACTGATATGAAAATCCCAACCTTATATAAAATTTAATACAAAGACTGATTATGAGGCTGATAAGTGGACTAAATTTGCCGGAATTTTGGCCGGAAGGACGAGGGGTGGTGACGGGATAGTGGTTACGGACTAAATGTGGACAATCTAAAAGTAAGGGACTAAATGTGGAAATGGTATAATAGTCATGGGATCAAAAGTGGAATTTTTTCTACTTTAAATAACATTTTCTTTTCTTATACAGAGTATGTACACATATTGTACACCATACTCGATTCTCATACGTGCGATGCACGGAATAAAATTCAAAAAAATGTGTCGAATTATTTATTGATTATATTTTTATATTAACAGTAACATCAAAGTTTCATAAAGTACAATGCATAAATGTATGAAAATAATATATGAGATATTATATACTCCATACTACGTGCATAGTAATGAAGGCAGGGCCGGCCATAGGGGCAGGTACCCTAGACAAGTGTCTAGGGCCCAAAAAAATTGGGCTTCTAATTTTTAAAGCAAGTCCATTATATGTATATATGTAATATGTTCAATTTTAAGAGATTTTTTCGGATTTAATTAGGGAGTCATTTGAAACTCTTCAAACATCAGTCTCCAAAGACCAATGAAGTCAAAGAAGAAATGGCTAAAGTTTCTTATGCATCAACAGTTGGCAGTTTGATGTACACTATGGTGTCAACAAGGCCAGACATTGCTCATGCAGTGGGAGTCGTTAGCAGGTTTATGTCAAATCCAGGGAAGGAACATTGGGAAGAAGTCAAGTGGCTGCTACGCTATTTGAAAGGCACTTCCGAAATTGCCATTTGTTTAAGGAGGAATGGTATAATCCTAGAAGGATTTGCAGATGCTGATTTGGGGGGCTGTTATGACTCTGGGAAAATCACTACAGGGTATGTGTTCACTATTGGAAGTACAACGATCAGTTGGATGTCCAGACTACAGAAGAGTGTGGCTCTTTCAACCACATAAGCAGAGTATATGGCCTTTGCCGGAGCGGCCAACTGGCCAAGGAGTTGATTTGGTTGAAGAACTTCCTTTCAGAGTTGGGCATGAAGCAGGGAGATTGTTGTCAATTTTGTTACAACCAGAGTGCTATTCATCTCGCGAAGAATCCAGTGTTTCATAGCAGAACGAAACACATCAAAATGCGGTATCATTTCATCCGAGAGTTGATTGAAGATGGTACTATAAATCTGAAGAAGATCCTTGGTAAGAAGAATCCAGCAGACATGCTTACCAAGGCAGTGACAACGGAGAAGTTGAAGCTATGCATGGCTTCAACGAGCCTTCCAGATACTTGATGAGAAGGTGTGAACGAGAGAGAGATCAGAGTTTTTTTTTATAGAGGATACATGTTCTTGGATGACAGATGATTGTTGAACAAGCCTCCAAGTGGGAGATTGTTGAAGATGGAGCCTTGTTTTGAATGCAACAGCAGATACCCGACCGGGTATGTTAGGTTACCCGATCGGGTATGAGGAAGATTTCGACCTGGTAACTCTCTGGAAGTGATACCCTGTAACACCCCGGCCCTGCAGGACCCGAAGTGGTTACTCAAGACCTCTAATACTGTCCTCACAAACCTCCACGAGTCTTTAACGCGCACTTTGTGCTCACTCGTGCGCGCCCTGAGAAACTTCCAAGGGTGTCACCCATCCCAAGATTACTCCCGTGCAAGCACGCTTAACTTTGGAGTTCTTAGCTGATGAGCTCCCTTAAAAGGAGATGCATCTTGTTGGTATGAGTAGTACTATTAATCCATTTAAATTAATTCTCAAGTGTTACAATCACCTCCACTTAGGAACGCAACGTCCTCGTTGTGCCCATAAACCAATCTCAAATCTCAATCAAATCCCAGAATCCTCGCTCGCTAAGTGCCCGCCCGATATCCAACGGATCAACACACTGTCGCAGGGTTGCTCTGATACCATCTGTAACACCCCCGGCCCTGCAGGACCTGAGGTGGTTACTCAAGACCTCTAGTACTGTTCTCACAAACCTCCACGAGCCTTTAACGCGCACTTTGTCCTCACTCGTGCGCGCCCTAAGAACCTTCCCAGGGGGTCACCCACCCCAAGATTACTCCCGTGCAAGCACGCTTAACTTTGGAGTTTTTAGCTGATGAGTTCCCTTAAAAGGAGATGCATCTTATTGGTATGAGTAGTACTATTAATCCATTTAAATTAAATCTCAAGTGTTACATACCCGACCGGGTAAGGTGTTTTACCCGACCAGGTATGTTGTCAGTGAAGAACACCCGCCTAGCTACCAGACCAGATAGCGTGAGAGAAAACACTCTAGATGAAATACCTGACCGGGTACATGGGTTTACCCAACCGGGTATGCGAGATTTTTTTTAGCACGGGCTTTATTTTCGGGCCTGCGACTCCTATTTTCGTTTAGGTTTTTGAGACCTATTTAAACATCTCTGTTGTACTTGTAAACCCTGATGCGCCGACATAATAATATACTGCTCTCTCTCTCGTTCGCCGTGGACTAGCACAATCACCCCGATTGTGTGAACTACGCAAATTCTTGTGTTCTAGTTCTTTAATTTATCATTTGCTTAACCCTAATCGTAATAGGCTTATCCCCATCCATATGATCAGGAGATTTGTTGCCGAGACGCGTGGTTGCGAGTAGTCTCAATCTGAAGCCTCAATCAGCCAGTGCGGTGGCCGCCGTCTTGCTAGGTTAGAGGTCGGCCGGGATCTACTTTCTGTTGGTGCAGTGATTGCGACACTGCTAGCCGTCAGTCGCCGAATGTTGTGCCTCCTCCACGCCAAATCCCCGCTTGCTCTGTCGATTCCCGATTCAGCCGGGAATTAGCGATTCCCCTTTTAGCTGCCATCATTGCAACAATTTGTCTCTAATTTTCATAACCTGATATCTTACGGATAAATTTCAGGTTTAGCAAAAACTCGACTCTAACCGGATTGATCTGACCCTAAGATTCATGGAATGACAAAAAGTCTAAAATGGTGAAGTGAGAAAAAACTGCTCTTGTGGAAAACAGTATTCCGTAATGCTTTAATGACTCCGCATCTTCGCTAAAAAGATGAGTCGGCATCTTAATTTATCCTACCCATTTTCTTTCTCAAAATATGAACTTTCTTTTGCATTAGGAGCATTTACAATGCTACAATGTGATGTTATACAATTTTGGAAAATTTTTCTCTACAATGTCAAGGAGACAGTCTAGATGTAGACATTGTAGTTGATCAAAATTAAATAAAACCATACAAATAAGTAGAGAAATAATTTGTTTACCAATATTTATGTGGTCATCTTTCATGCCACGTGTGCACCGCGCACATTTTAGCATTGAATAGTACTCTGTTAAAATAAATGAACACTCATTTTTTGGGTGGGTTTGTAAGTGAAAGAGCTTAATTAACTACAGAGACCTGATTAATTGTTTCAGACAATTTCAACCGCCATAGATCTCTACGTCATTTGACTGGTTCCTTCTCTTCTCTTTTTGTTTGCTTTCTTCAGTTAAGGCCGCAGGTATATTTGATTTTCCTCTCTTAATTTAAGAGTAGTATGGATATTGATAGTGGCAGGGGAGTCCTAGGAAAGAAAATGGACGAAGGGAAATGGAAACGAAAAAAAGGACGACACCGACCGTACGGTATGTTGGGAGGATGTAAATTGGACTATAATCTCAATCTGACAGATAGAGAGTGAAGCTTTGTCCCCGATACTTGCAGAAGCTCTATGCATTTTTAACATAGTAATCCCTCATCGCAGTTGACGAGATTCAAACTCGGGACCTAACCCTTGTGGCACTCCCGTGTTACCAGTTGAGCTACACCCACCGGTTGAAAATGGAAAAGAAAGATGCAGTGGAGTTGCGGTAGGCCGGTAGAGAAGAAGAGAGACATAAGGGAATGGGAAAAACTAAGGGCAATTTTGGAATTTCCATAACCGTTCTTAATCGGTGCTCAAAAGAAATGGTATCATACCTTTTGGGACGGGGAGGGTACTTTAAACCCCTTAAACAAATTGAACTTTGGTTTAGGATCTTTTTAATTGGACATTTTCTAGTCTGATCTAATCTGATTCAGTCTAGTCTGAACTCGTTTGGTCCGGTAAATGTCCGATCTTTGTATATTTTATAACAAATCCAAGTTCACCCTGAATTGGTTTATTCTGATTTGGTCTAATCTGGTATGAAACTGAAACATCATTAAGCACATATTTTTAGAAAGTTACTGAGGAGGGTAGATTTTTCAATCATATCATGACTTTATGTCAAACCAAGTAAGAAGTAAGTAACAAACAAGAGTTGTTTTAAATTTATTCTCGTACACCCAAATAAAGAATATGGTATTTCTTTTAGGGGCGTAAGTAATATGAAAATAGCTAAAATAATGAGAAGAAATTTTGGGGATATGACTAAAACATATTGAGTTTTCTTAAGTATGTTTGTTTTTAGTCATTCATATGGCTGAAAATAAAATAAAAGTAAAAAAAGATCGTCATATTAAAACGATGAAGGACGAAGATACCCCTTTTTTAAATGTGCATTTGCACTCTTTTTTACAAATTAAAATTATTGTACTTCATTTTCATAGATATTGCACGACTTTAGTGCATGATAATATGATATTACTATTTAGTGATGTGACTTCATTTACATCTACACATTCATTCACACTGCCTATATTCAAATCTATCTATTGCCATGTTCAGTGCCCATGTTTCTATTTCAAGAAATGAAAAAGAAGAAGAAAGAGAACAAACATTGGGTAACCGTGATTGGAGGTGGGCGGCAGGGCATTTGGAAGCTAGAAGTAGGGCTAGAATCGATTCGGATCCCGAACCGACCCGAACCGATTTTTGGTACCCGATTTTTCGGTGCAGTTTACCCAAAATCAAAAGAAACCAACTCAATTATATTAAGTAGACTAAGAAGCCCATTTAAACACGCCAATACTTGAGCACCATTAGCCCTTAGGCATTCGTGGATACTGGAGCGCATGAGGACCTCGTTTATATAAAGATTTTTGGAGTAGGAAGCTACACATTTCCGGTGTGGGACGAAATAGAATAGGGAAAGAAGACATTGTTAAAAGCAATAAAATTACACAGCCAGGAATCGATCCCACAACCCTTCGGTAAAGATAACGGGCTAGCCAACCAGCTCCGCTACTCTACGAGTTTGTTCAAGTTCTAGTCGATTGAATATTAATAAAACATTTATTATTATTAATATAAAAACGTCGGTTCGGTTCGGTCCGAATCGATATTTTGTGCACATAAACCGAGGTCCGAACCGATTTTTTTTCGGGTTCCGATTATTGGGTCCCAATTTCGTTCGGTTCGGTTCGGTTTTTTCTGAACCGATTCGGTTATTTTCGGTTCGGTTTTCGGTTTTTCGGTTCGAAATGTCAGCCCTAGCTAGAAGGGGATGGATGGGCATGCGACTTGACGGCGAGCAGCCATGTGGCTGGACAACGGGTAGTGGGACGTGGATGGGCGGTTGGGGGATGGAGGCGGATGGTTGCGCGTGCGGCTAGAAGGCGGCATTGGGAAGTTGTGCGACTGGACACCCGACGACACCACGACTGGATAGCGGGCAGCAGGACGCAGATGGGCAGCGAGAGATTAGAGGCGAGTGGCTACCGCTAGGATTAGTGAAAATGAGCAGGAGGTTAGAATTTTATAATAATAACTTAAGGGCAAATTGATCCATTAATATTACTCCGTATTTAATTATTCATTTACTGATACATAAATTAAATATTACGAATTAAAATATTATTTTGGGGAAAAACTAATAGGATATTACAAAAACTAATACTACATATAATGTTTTGTATAGATTACAAAAGTGAAGAAGTTTTAGTCATACATAGGGTAACTTTAGCTAGCTAACAAAAGAGTATCTCTAACTTTATTTATTTTTATTTTTCACAATCCAGTCGACAAAATCAAAAGTTATGTTATTTCGTGTTTGATAAAAAAAATTGGATGATAGGATTCATAATTTCAAATGCCGCAAATATGAGTTACAAAACGAGCTCTTAGAAAATAAAAATAAAAGGACTGTTGTAGCCTCTCTCAATCAAAAGAAGTACTCAGTAATCAGTATAGCGGAATGGTGTTTTTATTCGGATTGTTTTTAGTTTCATATCAAACCAGATCAAACCCGACCAGACTGAATCTCGCTAGATCAGACTTGAACACTCATAAAATATAAAGAGACTATACAACTATCAAACCAGACCAAGTCAGACCAGAAAATTCTAATTCAATTACAAATAGAGGTGAAAATAGAGGGATCAAGAGGGCATAAGAGTCTTTACGAGCAATGGTCAGCGAATGAAGGCATTGACGAATAATGACGGGCTTGTTAGGGTTCTACCTCAAAAGTCAGATCACTTGGAATCGGAAGAGGTGAAAAAATTGGGAGAGGTGAAAAGAAACCGGGTGGAGAAGAGCGAGAGATAGAAAAAGAGAGGGAGATCCAAATGGGAAAACCTCCACAGTTCGCAGTAGAAGGAACACTCTTCTTTGCTAGCATCTTCCTCCTCTCTCAAGCTTCATCAATTCCGATTGTTTCTGTGCCCCAACCCGCTCTCTCTTCCTTCAAGATCAACTCCACCACTCAAACCTACTTGGTATCGTATCTTTTTCTATAAATATTCACTAATCTCTTTCGCAAAATCTTTTATTTTCTTGAACATCTGAAAAGTCTCCACTCAAATTGAAGTTTATTTGCAGATACCCCACACTTATTTATTTATTTATTTATTTATTTATTTACTTTCTGTTATTGATGGGTTTGGAGATATATAGAATGGCGGTGGCTGTACTTTCTCAGTGTCAATAAGAACAAGTTGCTCTTCCCCTTACCTAACAGAAGACCAAATCAGCCTTTCCTTTGGTGACGCTTATGGCAATCAGGTTAACACTCACACCCCTCATAAAATATTTATGTTCACCTTGCTTTTGAGAAATTCCTAAATTTACTTTCAAGAAAAAAATTAGATTTTTTTTTTTACTTCCAGAGGTATTTTTGATTGGAAGTATTTCTGTAGTCTGTAGATTGTAGAATAATGGGTAAATTGATGAGATTTTCAGGGTAACAGGTAATTTTTCATTTGACAGGGCATAGTTATACTTGAGAGTAGTAGGTGAATTGATGGAATTTCCTGAGAACTTACCATGAATAGAGACTGGTGGAGTCTTTTTTTATTAATAATACTAGTAATGAATTAAAAATAAAAAATAAAGATGAGGCAAATAATATTCAGGTTTTAGGTAATTCTAATCCCTTGATTTAATTCATTCAAGGTATATGCACCTAGGCTTGATGACCCGTCTTCCCGGACATTTGAGAGGTGCTCGTCGGATACGTACCAGATAAATGGTCCGTGTACGTATGACATATGCTATTTGTACGTGTACCGGAGCGGATATGATGGGTGGATACCATATGACATTACAGTCTCCGGGTATTACACCCGGCCAGTGACTTTCCGCTATAACGTCCCTATACCCTCAAACATCTGGTATGGTTTTGACTATTGTTCTGGTGGTGGACGTAGCGGTGGTGGTACTACCATTAAGGCCGACTGGGGTTGGAGCTTACTGTCCATTTTTATGACGCTCTGGTACACCATCATGGGCCAAGTTCAGCACTGGTTAGCTTGATTCAGTTGATTGTATTTGTGTACTCTTATACAACAGGGCCATCCTATTACGACTTATGTGTAGTGTGTATTCTAACAATCCGAGGCTGAAGACATCCTTTCTTTTCATGAAGTATTCTTATTATTGCTGTTGCTAATCATTGTATACTTTCCGCTTTCTTTTTTCAATGCAACGCTTTGACTTTCGTGTGCTTGACATACCATACCTTGACCACTTTGTAGTAATATATGGAAAACAAATCATTGTAACAAAAGGTGGAATCTCCCACCCCAGGAGCCCCTCACCCTGACATGATGGTGGGGAGGTTAGTCACGGTGACTCAGTCAGCATAATGACAGTAGGCCTATACACCCGTGCGCACGGCGCACCAGATACCCAGCCTTATTTCAGATTTTGTGACTTCCACCCGGTCGCCGTGGGGATTCGAACCTTGGTCCATTGTTCTAAATCTCCCACCACTCGACCAACTGAGCTACCCGTGCGAGTATATGGAAAACAAATCATATTGTGGCATTGTGCTACTTGTTATTATTAAATACGTAGTACAGTATGTCTCAATGTAGATTTTCAAAATGACAACATTTTTATAATTTTTACGTATACATAATAACCTAATATACATCTTTTGGGACTTGTTGTACTGTATATGTGAAAATCAGATTGTTGCCATTAGAAAAATTAAAAATTAAAATAGTTTAGTGTATATATAAATCACTCACATAATAACATGGTTAGCAACTTAACTACGACCTTGTTTCGAAAATGGCTCATCAGCCAATTTTTGACTTCTTTGACTACAATAATGATTTTGACTAGTTAAACTGCTAAAATTATTGTTTGGTAAAATGGCTGATTAAATTCGCTTGTTGGACCCAAATAGCTAAATATCAAAACATTAGGAAATAGCTAAATATCAAAACATTAGGGTGGGTAGCGTCTATGATCGGCGTTTCAATCTCTACCTTTTCTGCTCGGTGTCTCGTTCATCTCCTTCACGCAAGTCTCGTCTAATTTTAACATTTATTACACTTCTTGCACCATATACCTCCATTTTGCTCTTCAACGCACCATTTGCAATTTGCTCTTTGTTATCAGCTATGTATATCTAGTAATTTTAATTCACTTATGTTGTATTTTTCTTTGTTATTTCGTCGTACATCTCTACGTATTTCTGTCTTTTTTCCATTCATTTACGGTATTGAATTCCCTGAACACAGAATACTCCGGATTTCCTAAAATTTACCCATTCTATTCTCTATTAATTATTACCTGATGGCTGATGCCATCTTATATAGTACTCCCTCCGTATCTATTTACTTGTCACACTTTCCTTTTTTGATGTACCAAATTAATTATCTCCTTTCCCTTTTTGGAAAGAATCCCACTCAAAAAGCAGCTACAGTACGACAGTACCGCTACAGTACCAAAAATCTTTTACTTTTATAAAGTCTACAGTAATTGTCTTAAAGTCCGTGAAAAGCAAACGAGTCATCTAATTAGATACGGAGGGACTATAAATTTGAAGTACATATATTTTTTAATATTACTCAATGTAATAACTTTACCCAAATTCTTTCTAGAGGAGGTAGTGATTGATGGACGCACAACAAGTTTGTAGGATAGGATCTAGCAATTTATTTTATTTCTGATTTAATTTTATTTTTCATTTTTTAAAATTTCTAAAATAAGAATGATATATAAAACTGAGTATGTAAGTAATAGCATGTGACAATATTGTTAAAATACCTAAAATAATAAACAGGCATTAATATCCTCATACATCTTTTTACACTCTTAACAGCTATTTTTAGACATCAAGCTAACATAACCAGCCAATCAAAACAGCTAACACAACTAGCCGTTGCTAAACCGGTATCACAACCAGCTAACAACTAAGGCCTACATCTTCTAGTAGGTACAGGGGAAATTGATGTCACATTCTGATTTTAAGCACAAGGTGCTCTACGTAATGCATTTGATTTACTAGGAAAAACTTGCTGGTAGTAGTCATATACAGAGTACACTATGGTAATTAGTAAGATTCGTCTATATTTCACAAGAATCAGAATGGCCAAAAAATGTGTAGCGATTTTTTGCAATATTGTCGTACACAAGATCTCGGACAAACCTACAAAGAACAATAAAAGAAACAATGAAACAAAAATCAAATAAGAGCTTGTGGAAAAAGGTGACAAAGCAAAACCAATTTGTGATAGGACCTTCCCCTCAATGCTCATGGCATTATATTTTCATCCATGGTTGTTGACACATAGCTAGCACAATTTGGTTCTCATTCTCACTGTCAAGATTGTATATGTATATATGTATACACACATAATTGTTTGTGGAATAGAGCATGTAGGTGACCCTCATTTTCAATTTGTTAATCAGCTTTGTTACCAAAATGTAACTTTTGATTTTACGCATTGTATTGTGTAGTAAGTTAAATAGGTAAGATTGAAGTTACTTTCCTGGTGGAACTTTATGTAGAGTGATCATTGTAGTTGTTTTTTCACATAATTCTTTCTTTATTTCATTAATTTTTTTTTTCATAATTCAACAAATTAAGCTAATTCAAGCAGAACTTCATCAATTTTAATGTTACCAAACGAGATCTTAAATGATAGTTAATAGAAAACAAAGTAACAAGACTTACAAAGGAAAAAATTGCAAAGGCAAAGAGAATTGAGGGAAAGGGGAGTCTATGTATTGCATTATCTTCAAAACAGCATCTGATTTCACATATGACCTGAAATTCAAGAAAACCAAGAAAGATCATTAACTATCCGTATCCTTGCACTGTCAAATACAGTTTTCTCTACACTCAAGCATCGTCAATAAATTCACCAAATATATATATTTTTACATATTAGTTTGCTAAAATAGTAATTGAATTATTATAAGTAGCTTTTCTACCAATGAGTGATAAAAGAATAAAGATTAATTGACATTCTCCCAAATAACTGTTTGGTAGGTTCTAAGGGACCCTCAATATTAAAATATAAATTTCATTAAAAATCACTTTTTTAGGTAACAAAAAATAAAAGGATTGAAGAAAAGTTTGGTTATTATCATATTCTCTTCTCACCACATTCAATTAAATCGCTTGGAAACATTGTACAAGCATTCTCAATAAATTGTACTCCATTTGAGCATTAGTTTCTCTTCTCCACTTGGCGTATCTATCCATAATACATTGGATTATTTTTTCCATTTGATGGGACTATTCATAGCATATTGGATGTTCTTCTCCACATGGTGTATCCAATCATAACACATTGGATGCTCCTGGCCACTTGGTGTGTACATTCATAGCACATTGAATCCTAATCTCACTTTATTACATCATAAACTCACTTAAATCATGAGTTCATTTCATACATTACAAAAATCCATTGATGAAGAAGAAGATGTCTATTCCCAACACAATACAAAAATCCATTCATAAAGATGAAGATGTACTCCTGGCGCATGAGCATGGCTATAATGGTTTCATTTGTTGCAACAAACTCCAACAATCATGAGTACATAGGCCGTCCCCGAAAAGCTAGACACCGTCTATTGATAGATGATTACAGGAATCCAAACCCACCTACAACGCACGTATATTTCGGCACCATTTTTGCATGGAGTTACCTTTGTTCCCTCGTATCATGAAATACATCATCATTTTTATCCTTATTTTTCAAGTACGACAGATACTCTAAATCAGGTATCTCTTGCTCCACAACAAAAACTCACTGATGCAACATTATACTCAGTACTCACCAATGGTTGCTCCGTTGATTCATTAGATCACCTGTGCCTAGGCATGTCAATGAGTTGGGTCTAAACCCGGAACCAATCCAAATATGACATTTCATTCGAGGGTATGGATCTAAATTTAGAACCGTTTATCAGATCCGGATTCGAACTCATTACATGAGAGAGAGAGAGAAATGTGTGGGATATGGATTTTTAAGTTTTGGCTGTTTTGGACCGGACCCTTTGGCAATGTAATTATAGTTATATGTATATAATATAGAGTAAAATGTGGTCCTTGAACTATCATCACCGTATCATTTTGATCCTTGAACTATTAAATCTATCATTTTAGTCCTTAATCTATTTAATCTATATTAATCGAGTATTTCCGTTAAAATATGTCGTTTACATTGACGGTAGCTAAGTAATATCCCATAGTTTTAAACATTTTAGAACAATATAATTAATTATAAAATTTAAGTAGATAATCTAGTTTTGTTTAAATATACACACATATACACATACACATGCAAAAAATATAAATAAACAATTAAGTAAATAATATATAACCAAATGTATGGTTTAAATAATACATAAGAGAGAGTCCCTAACATTAGAAGATTATACTACTATAGAGAAAGAACTCTGACCGTATAAAAGGGGAGAAAAAGAGAGAAAATTAGCCAAAAATCGAGACGGTGGCAGCGCAGGCATGGGGATGGCCGAGGCGACGGGGGAGGTGTGTGTCGCTGCGACGGGGGCGACATGTGTCGCGGCGACGGAGGCGGTGGGTGCTGCAACGATGGGCCAATGTCTAGGATTTTTAGAAAATAAGTAGAAAGTTATGGTTTATAATCTTAATGTAAGGACATATTTTGGTCACAAAAATCTAAGGGTATATTAGTTCATAAAAATTATTTATTAATTAAATATTACGAATTTAAATACGTAGCCACCGTGAGTAAACATATTAACCCGGAAAGATTGTGCGTAGGATGTGAACGCAACTCCGACTAGTGCAGTACTTTATAATAACATTTATCAAATTGACTAGGCTGGATCCACTAGTCGGAGTTGCGTTCACATCCTACACACAATGTTTCCATAAGGAGCACTTGTGATTTATAATCTCGAAATGGAAGTTATAAATTTTATACTTTTATGAAAGTACTTTTAACTAAGCACATTTTCATATCATTTTTATACAACAACAAGCAACAACATCCAAGCCTTAATCCCAAAAGAATTTCGGGTCGGCTAACATGAATAAAATAAAGATAAATAAATATAAGATAACAATAACACAAGAATATAAGAAAGATAAGAGATAAAAAAAGAGCATAACAAAAGCTAGGATATAAAAATAACATAAGAATATACAAAGATAAAGAAGATAAATGATAAAAAAAGAGGAAAGGTAGAAAAGACATCAGTCATCCACACGGATGTGCGCCATCCACTTTACTCTCTCCAAAGTCATACTCTCTCATCCAACCCAAGAAGA